AGGCTGTCCAGAGGCAGCCGGGGCGGACACCCCTGCTGCTCGCGGCCGGCCTCCCCCACCCTTCACGCCTTTGCTTCCCCTCCCACCCCCAGGTGATGCAGTTTGGAAGGATCGACGGCAACGCGTACATTCTGGACTTCCAGTACCCCTTCTCGGCCGTGCAGGCCTTCGCCGTGGCCCTGGCCAACGTGACGCAGCGCCTCAAGTGACCGGACCGCGTGGAGGCCAGGCTGGGGCCCGGGCAGGGCAAGACTGGAAGAGGCTTGGCCGGGACGGCACTGGCCTTTATTCGCTGTTGTTTGTTGGGTTTTTTATTATCCTTTATTGTCGTCTTTCTTTTCGAGCAAAAACACAGTGCAGGAGAGGGCGGTTTGCAAGCGGGCACGAGTGCCGAGCTTGGCCAGAGGGCGGCCGCCGGTGGCAGCCAGGAAGGGGGGCCGGCGTGGCCGGTGCCTTCACTCCACACCCCCGCCACGGGAGTGAACACAAAACCCTTGTTGCAAACACAACCAAAACTCGAGATCCAGGCTCTCTTGGGGGGACAGGATTTAGCTCACGCTCATGATGTCACTGCCCGCGGTGACTTGAGCAGTGCAGGGTGCTTGGGGGACCGTGCTGGGCTGGTACAAGCCATCGGTGCTAGGGCCAGGTGGGCGTGGCGTGGCCGGCGGGGGTGGGCCTGGACAGGCCTGGAGGGGAGGCCCCTCTGTGAGGGCTCCCTGCGGCACCGAGCCCCGAGATGCCTGCAGGAGGAGCCACCCCTGCCCTGTCCCCCATGCCTCTGTTCCCCTCCCTCCAGAAAACGTCTCCTGTTTAAGGAACGCTGACACTTGTCTCCCAAAGTGCTGAGGGTGCTGGCGGGAAGTGTTCCCGTAGGTCAGGAGTGGAATCCAGAAAGTAGAGCCATTTGCCAGGGGATTAAAAGAGTCGCAGTCAACTCTGCGAACCTCCCGCCGTCTTCTCGAGGAGAAAAAGGTCGTTCGGCTGTAAGACTGCGGAGGAGATAGACTGGGGGAAACCTGTTCACGTTAGATGCCTGAGCTGGTCCTCTGGCTGCTCTTGGTTGAAAGATTAAAAACGCTCTGAGATGGTCTCTCCCTTCTCCCCTCCAAGGACGCGGGCCTGGGGCCCAGGTCACTGCTCTCAGCAGCCTGTCCTGAGGTCTGGGGCGGGAGCCCAGGAGCCCCTCCTTTGGGCTGTCCGCAAGGAGGATCGCGGAAGGCACCACGGAGAAGCATTTCCAAAATAATTTGCTGTTCCCTTTTTTGGTTTAAAAATGAGAAAAGAGCCGGCCAAGCCCCCCACCCCCACTCCCACCCCAGCGCACGGTCCGGTCGTCTCTCCGGGCCCAGGGGAGACCTTGGCGTGGGCTGCAGCTGGGGAGGGCGTCGCCAGCCGGTTCCAGGCTCCCGATTCATACTTTGAAGTACTGGCCTGAGTTGGGTGGGCAGATTCTTCCAGACAGAATTTAGCAATGTTTTCGGAACGAAATGATTCTTTCATAAGAGTTTCTGTAGCCTGATGCAACGTCCCCGTGCTGCTTCTTAGTTGTGCAATAATGGTTATAGCCTGTTTCTCCAACGATAATTTAAATGCAGTTTTTGTTTTATTGTCCAAGAGATAATTATTTATCTTGCTTTAATAGTGTCCCTAGGAGTTATTTTGTTACTATGTGTTGGTGAGTTATGCCCATTTTATTATTTATTTAGAAAAATAGTAGGGTTTGTAACGACTTACTGGTGGCAGTATATTTTGCTGCAGGAAATAAAGAAGATTCGATAGAAGGCTTTTTTGCTGGACAATTCGTGACTTTCCCTGATCGGGAAAATATTCCTGTTGGTCCTTGAGGGGTTTGGTTTTGTTTGCATTTTGCCGTGTTGATTATATGCAAGGGAGATTCCTTTGAGATAACACATCCTAAAATAACCAGTTCTTTTGAAAATTCTATTTTTAATTGAAAATGAGAGGCGACATAACTCGCATTTGAGAGGGGGCACTGATGAGGGAGAGAACAGCGGAGGAAGAACTGCCAAGGTGTAGCACCAAGGCGTTCCGCTCTGGGTGTTGCGTCCAGAGGCCCGCTGCGGCACTGAGTCAGAGCCGGCGTGGCGGGTCGGATGCCCGCGTGAAGCCTCTGGACAGAACAGACCCCCACGTGGGCCTCGCCTGGGGGGTTCGCACTCACGAGTGACCTGGGCGCACAGAGCTGCCCGCCCTCCTCGCCTGGCCCTCACGGCCTCTGGCCACTCAGGTCTGCGGCCGGCGTGACGCGAGGGCTTCTGAGTGGCCCGTGATAGTTTTACTTGAGAAATGTGTTTTCCTCTGGCCTCTTACTACTGCGCGCTGTGAGAGGCAAGCTTTCACATACTTTCTAGTGGCTAACAGCGGTCTGTGGCTCTTAAGATACCTCCCTGAAGCCCTCACCTTACAGACAGCCCAGTAAACAGCTGCATGAGGCGCCCGTGCCTGTTTGAGGGAGCAGTAGATGAGCCGCGTGGAGCCGGTGTGGACTTGGTACGGCTTAGGCCATCTCTGACGGGCCGCCCCGAGGACGGGCCTGGAAGAGCCGGGGCCAGGAAGCGGGATGCGGCGCCCGTGGCAGGCTGTGTGGTAGGACTCACGGAGGGGTCTCCCCGGAGCGACTGCCCCCTCGTCTGGCGCCCCAGGGGACCTGTCAGACAGCGTCACTCATCTGGGGGTGGCGGCCCGTGGCTAGACACCCCCCACCCAAGCCCAGTCTGCCGCAAAACGGACCCCATTTGCCCTTCTCTGCTGGGCCTGGATAGTCTTGCGAACCCATCCAGCTGGAGCGGGTGGAGGCTTGCCCTGGCACAGCACCCCCGTGCCCCTTCGCTGCCTGGGAAGGTGTGCTCCGAAACAGCCACTTGCAGAACCACCTCTCTCCCGGGTGAGGAGCTGCCGTCGCAATGTAAACCCGCGTATTTGAAACAGGCTCTTTAGAAGGTTCCCGCCAGAAACGAATGCCTGTGGGATCTCGTGTGTGCTCATGAAACCACACGAAGGCCCTGACTCCTGGTGCAGCGAGGACCCTCTGAGCGAGCCCTGCTCGGCGGGCGTCCGCAGCCCGTCACCCTTGCCCCAGAGACCCGGGAGCCCGCCCCGGGGCACCACTGTGCCCCATGGCATCTGCCCCGGCTAGGACACCGGCAGCGGGCACGGTGTCAGGGTGCCGGGGCCCCCTGTGGCGCGTAGCTCCAGACCGCGGCCCTCTGGGGTCATGCCATGGCTGATAGAGGCGGAAGGTCGAGGCTGGTTTCGTTTCCATTTCTTTGACTTTGTGTGATTTCTTGTAGCTCCTTGTACCTGTATACTTTCCGTTTACAAGTTCTCTTAAAGGGGAGGGGAGGGCCTGCGATCTCGTTTCTTGTAGATACAAAACCTTTCTCGTGTTGTAGAAAAGCATGGGTATGCGTTTGACGAAAAGGCACTGTACTACTTACCAAAGGGCACTGTCTCTGCATTTGCTGATAAATGCATTATTTTGGTACTGTAAATTTGGACATACTTCCTGAGGTTATAACTACTGGCGTTTCCTTTCTCCCTGTTTCTCCCTTTTCTTTTACGTTTAAGCTCTCAGTGCGCGACGCAGGTGCGCAGGCCCCAGACCAAACTCCACACCAGCATGTTCTCGTCCACACCGGCCTGGCCCGCTTCTGTGCCTCCAGCTCTCCGCAGGTTGCTGGGTTCCGGCTCAGCACCCTGCTCTGTTTACTTTCCGGGCAAGATCTGTTGCGATTGTCCATCGCGTTCTTATGATTTTAACCTGATTTGCCTCTCTCTTATGCATTCTGTGTCTTAGGTTGTGCGGGAGGTGTTCTAGAAGGCACTCATGGTTTGCATTCAAATGATGATGTGGTTTGTCCAAATTATTTTCTGTCTTTAACACTGAGATGGATTGATCTCATTTTTTTTTTCTTGATTTGAAGTTGTAAGAGTTGTCCAGCTATTGCTTAATAAAATTTTGCAAATCAAAAATAAAGAAAAAAATCAGTTGCTTGTGTGCAGAATGGAGGCGGGCGGGTGCCCAGAGAAGATGCACCCCCCGCCCCAGGACCCTGCCCTCCTCCGGGGTTCCCCACCGCCCAGACTGTACTGCTCTTTGGAGAGGTCTGAAGCTGTGTGACCTCTTGATGAGGTGGTTTGAGTTGGTCTTTGTTTTTTTCTTTTTAAAGGTTTATTTATGCATACAGAACTGGGGTACAGAATGGCCAGACGTGCAGGGGGTGGGAGGATTCACCAGGGACAGAGAGGGGAGCAGAACAGGCAGAGTAGGGAGCGGAAGTACACTGCTGAGGGGAGCAGCGGGCTGGTCAGGAGAGGTCTGCTGTGCCCTGTGGGTCACTCCCTGGCCGGGGATCAAACTCCGGAAGCAGATGCAGATAGCTTCGTCGTGCTGCGCTTTAACCCGTTGTGCCACCAGAGAGGGCCCCGTTTTTCCCTTTTTTAAAACAGACCAGACTCAGGCTGCATGTGGAGCTGCCGGGTCAGGGAGGCTGACCCCACGCACGCTGTCTTGAGACTCTGTAGGGAGCTTCCTGTGCCTGGCTTTGAGCCACTCTCAGTGCTCATGGGACTGGATGACAACATGTACGCTGTGCAGGGCTCCCCCGTGTGGCCCAGGGCCCCCAACACGGGGAGGGAGGCCAGGGCTCGGGGACCATAAGGGCTCTTCGGCGAACATCGAGTCCCGGGAACTCGCTTCCTCAGACAAGCAGACGTGACCTCTCAGCCTGCGGGCCCGAGAGCCACCGTCAACTAACACAGTCACGTGGGTAACCGTGGGCCGGGCGTGAGCGCTGGAAAGCGCCTGGGCGCCAGGCTAGCTGGCCGAGGGTGAGGGCGTGCGTCAGAATACAGCTCTGCTAAGAAGTTTTGGGAGAAGCAAGTTACTCTGTGCTTTGTCCATCACACCACCTAGCAGAGACCTGGTTGGAAATAAACCACTCTCCCCGCCACCCCCTGAAAAAACAAGAGACCCAAAATCTGAGAGCTGCGCCGAGTCTGGGTCAGCGCCCAAGACCCACCTGAAGGCGCCTTCTTCCCCCCTCCTCCCCCGCACCCGCCTGCTCCCCCACCCAGCTTTGGGGCTGCTCAGTGTGAGTCACTGTCTCCAGAGAGATTTATTTTTAAATCCTTGCTTAAGAAACAAAAACTTGAGCAAATCCCGCCGGTTCTACAAACTTACGTTGAAAAGACGTCTTCTATTTTTATCCGAGTGTCGAGTACTCTTTCCCGGGTGACATTAAAAGAACAGGGAGTCAGCGCTGGGCCTCTCTCCCCCCCCCACCCCCGCCCGGCAGCCAGGCAGGAGCTGCCGGGGCGCTGAGGCGCTGGGCACTGGCCCAGCCCCTTCCACACGCGCGAGCCTTCGAAGCCTGAGGGGTTGACGATTTCTGGATTCCGTAGACCACAAACGAGCCCAAAATAGAAGCCAAGATTTCTGGGTCACGTCAAAGAATAGAC